ATTTATTTTGCGGACCGTGACGGACGCGCACAGTTAGTCAACTGAAAGAGAACGCGGTAAGTGAACATGGCAATATTGACTAAGAGAACAGAGAAAAGAAATCAAATAAAAAAAATAGCACAACTTAAAAACAGACCCTGCAACAGAGATTACTTAGGAAACGAAGGTCCGATAACACTGAACTAACCAACCGTAAGGCGAGATCTTAGAAACAACCCCAATGAAAACATGTGATAACTGAGAGGTTTTCTAGCCAAGAAGTGCACCTTGATGTTGCGTGTGCTGGTGCTTACAGGACAAAGGTTATGTGTGCTATATAAGGAGCATCAGGAGCATCGCATCTCATATAAGAAGATTCAGGGGCATCGCATCACCTCATAACCGGATGTGGCGCCCACTGCACCCACTGCATCTGTCGGCCAAGATGCCACGTCGCCACTTTTGGGGTCATAAGAGCTTGTCGAGACTCCGAAACATGGGTACACGGACTTATCACGTGGAACGGCAGGCCAGCTGAGCGCCACATGCAGACCACACGTGTGCGTTGAGCCGGACAGGATACCTTTGGTAACATACTAACAGGTGATATGGTGGGCTACCGTATTGATTCTTCACAGCAGCATCGAGGCAGGGTTTTGTAGTGCGAACTTCTGTGCTGGTAAGCCTAAGGGGCTGGAGTACATCAAAGAAGCAAGAAGGGGCAGCCGAAAGAATATCAAATGAACGAGAACTTGGCGAGTGACGATATGGAATTTCATGAAATATCAGGTATGCGTATGCCTAACATTTGCAGTATATCGATCCTTTTGATGTGTTTTCTGAACTGATTCGTATAGTCAAGCTCCATTAACCAAGAAGGAATCGATTCAATCCACTTAGCCGTTCTCAGTATGAATGCATGAGCTCTCAATTCACGACGCCGTTTGCCCATCCTGATGCGGTAGAAAAAGAAAACGCCTCGCCGCCTGCTAATTGGTCTGAAAGTCTAATATTTAAATGGCTTGTTGCGTAACTCGCCCTCCAATAGTTGGAACGCTAAAATTAGATCAGACTGAATGCGCTTATAAAAAAGGCTTCTTAAGTTTTTAATTGAGCTCGGTACGATGGCAGAGTTTGCGGATAGCCACTATTCGGAAAGACCTCGTAGAAAAGAATACTGGCGAATGTTTTCTCCACTTTTTCAAGTTTGGATATCCTTGTTTAATGAAGGGCTCCATACCGAGCTGCAATAACCAACTAGTATTTCAAGCTGTGGGCTTACCAACGAGAAAAGGCTTTTTTGAAGGTTAATCCAGAGTCCCCATTGAGCACACGCCTATGCATATTCTCGACTGCTTTATTCAGGAGTCTTTGAGCGTCATCTCTTCTTTTGTCATCACAGGCAATAGACACTTTTATGTCGTCTGCGTAAGCTGCAACATGAAGCTTGTGATCAAACTTCAATAAGTTAACGAGGTCGTAATTGCATATGAGGAAAAGTAGTGGGGAGAAACTACCCCCTTGCGGAACTCCTGAAGTACAGTCTCTCGGTGCTGAGACATAGTTTCTAGAGCGTTTCTAGAGCGTACTCTCATTTTCCAGCCACTCAAATAGGACAGAAACCATTGCAAAACATTCCCTTGAGCACCCATGCTTTTCAGTTTTGCGAGGAGGCTAGAGCTACTCACACTGTCGAAAGCTTCAGTCGAATCAAAGTACACAACTCTAATTTTTTGCCCGGAGTTGAGCGCTTCAATCCAGGAATGAGTGCAGTCTATGAGCTGTGTGCAAGTGGGGGAGCCAGGGAGGAAACCATACTGCTCAAGCGGAGTGCACTAAAGTTTCAATACCCATGTGAGTGAGCAGCTTTTGACTACTTCTCCAAAACTTCGAGTGGAGTGGGTAAAATGCTGATAGGCCTGAAGCTAGGAATGAGCTCAGAGTCTTTTACCTTGGGGATAGGATTTATTATAGCATGCTTCCATATGGATGGAACCTGTCCAAGGATAAAGAAGATGTTGTACATATGAGTGAGAGGTTCGGATAGCTCTTTTGCGAACGCTTTGAAAAAGAGTTGTGGTAGGCCATCCGATGTTAAGGAGCCAGGCTTAAGGGATCGCAAAAGCTTGTGTACCGTTTGCGGGGTAATGATTTGGAATTCAAGACACTTGTTGGTGGTGGGAGGAAGATTTAGATCGGCTCCATAATCAGCAACGAAAACGCTTTTGAAGTGGTCCGCGAGAGCTTCCGCTTTATCCTTATCTGTTGTGTACTTTTCCCCAATTAGATCTTCGAGAATATGCATGACTGGTCCTTGCTTGAGGAATGTTTTCGCATAGGCAGCTAAGTATTTTAGGTTGCCTCTTTCGGCCAGCTTCTTAACTTTATAGGCTAGAAAGCGTTGATGTGGTAGTCAAGTTTTCAGCTAACCTCCAATCAACTGACTTTGTTGGATTGAGTGAGATGTTGAAAATTCTTTCATGTTGTTTGAAATATGCACGTGAGATTCAATAGTACCATGGATAATGTTGCAAAACGTTGCGTAGATATCGTCCATGCTTTCATAGTTGGAAAATACCTACATCCAATCTATACTCCAGAGGTGATTTGCTATGGCATCTTTGTTCATGTGGTGGAAATTCCTCAACATAATTGTTGCCTCCTTTGCTGTTTGTAAGCTAAGGAGAACGCAATTATGTTATGATCGGACGAGGATAGTTGAGGTAAGGGATGAATCTAGGTGATGCTATCGGGAAGGGTGAGGAGATATTCTTTCTTGCCGGGTTGGAAAGCGACGTATTGGTGCAGCACCGTCGTGCAGAATGGCACAGCTGCTGGAGATCAAATATGGTGGATAAGAAGGTTTCGTCCTGGGCATTTACGGAATTCGGGGGGCCGTAGACCAGGATAAAACGGTGCCGTGTCGGTAGAAAGATGTCGAGGCATATCACGTCCGATATCATGTCCTGGTGGTCAAAAGAAACATTTTCATATGACACAAGACCGTGGACCCAAGCACACACACCACCACCTTTCCGGGTTGATCTATCTTTCCTCAAGACCGAGTTGTGGAAATCAGCGCTCAATTCGGAATCCGAAATTTTACTGTTCAGCCAGGATTCTGTTGTAAAAACTAGATCTGGTTTTAGAAAACTCAAAAAGCAGTGAAGATGAGAAACTTCTTTATGAGACTACGTGCGTTTGTCAATAGACAATTAGAAGTTAAGGAAGAATTGTCAATAGACAACAAGGAAGAATTTCTTGAAAAAACGGAGGGGCAAACTCTTTTTGTTTCGAAGCTGGGATATCAGATGCCTTCATCGGTTCTCCTTCATAGGCAACACAAAAACGCTCACCGTTGTGTTCATTCTGATTCAATTCACGGGCTTGAGCCCTTAAATCACTTTTTTGCGCTCCTCCGGCGTGATCGATTTGTGGATTCATAGATTCTTATACGCTGATACACCACGCAGTTTACCAGCCTTTGACAATGCTTCAACAAGAAAACGCTAGGATGAAAATACACATTCAACTAGCCTATGCTTTCCCTTGTTGATGAAACCCGTCCTGTATATTTCTACAGGGCGGGATGAACGCTTGTCAATTTTGGACCGGAGTTCAAGACCACCCATATTTCATCCGAGGCCAGGTTCGTTTTCACAGTCATGAATGATATCTTATGCGGTGGTTCTACAAAAAAAATAAGGTACTCATGAGCAGACCCTCGACCATCCTCAATTTATCGGACATAACTCGGGTAGCAATTGCAGCAGGGATGTCATGCTTGCGGGGAAGCTCGTCAAGGGTCCAGCGTCTGTGATCGGACATTCAACGCTTGACTTCTCTCTCTCTAGTTTCTTGTGAAGAATGAACATTATGGGACCATCTGTGCCGTTTCTCGGAAGTGGATTGCCCGTAGGAGACGAAGTTGACGGGAAGGTGTTCATTCTATAGCAACCCTTTTATAGGGCGTCACCACGCTCATTATCACTCTAGTTGTTGTTGAACATGGTCTTCTTCAAAATAACACCGGTCGATTCGGTAGGGTTCATCGAGGAATCTCTATACTTCGGGGCGGGCTTTGTTGTACCCGGTCCTCTAATTTCGCCTTGTGATGCTGTTTCTGCTGGTAGTTCTTCTCTCTTATGTTGATGGTTGTTTTTTCTTGTTGCGATCGGTAGTTCGGTAATTTCGTTGTCTTCTGTGTCTTCTGATCGTTGATCTTCCTCGTAGTGAGTGTCCTGAAGCGGTCTTAGATTGTAGTGGTTGCCTTTTTGTTGGAGGCTGTGGTTTTCTGCTCGTAGTCGTTTCTGTTTTTTGTTGTTTCCAGGGCAGCTTCTTCCTTGCCTTCAAGTCTGAGTGGAACAAGGAGGTTTACAGGTTGACGGATGGTATGCCCATTTGGCTGAGTGGAGCTGTTTGTCATCGCGTGCGGCTCTTCTGGCACGTTGCCATCTTCGGTGATCCGCGCTTTCCATAGCGATTGACACACTGACGCCGCGTGATACGCATTGAATGCACGCTATATAGGCCAAGTGAGACCGTCTCCTATTCATTCTATAGTTCAGTCTTAGTATACTTGTACTATGCGTAGTCTATGGAGTAAATTCGTACACACTATTATAGTTTAGCAAAGACTTCTTGGGGAAAGAACACCATTTGCCTGGATTGGTTTGCTCCTCAACTCTGGATTTTTTTGCTCTTCAACTCTTTACAAGCAAATACAGACAAGCACAATACTAAAAATGATAAAAAAGGAAGATGAAGGATCCCAAATCCTACACAAGGCACGACTTGTGTTTTTCACGAAAGCATTGGTTATGGACGAATTTCTGGCACCTAGAGCAACGAGAGTTGGCCAGCTAGTGTTTTCCATAGTGATTCGTTCACATGCTTCATAATTGCTCTGCAAACCAGGTTTTCCGATCCAATCTCCAAAAAATGCGCTTCGTAGGATTGCTTGAATTGTATTCGTACCGCGCTTGTCAGTTTGAGAATGCGGGTGTGTTCCACGAGGGCGGAAAAGTAAAAACCCGCGCGGTCGTCAACGTGTTAAGCGCAAATCTCGCACCGTTGGACATAAATTGGAGGCTGAGGTTCCATAGTCTTTCCAAGCATGATTCTAATTAGGAGGTTGTGAACAAAAGAGCAGCAAACCTTTTTGAGTTTCATACCCTGCAAGCGATGGGAAGGACGTGGACTGAAGTGCAGGTAGTTCGTCTTCCGTACTCATAGCAAGAGGAGGATACGAAATGAAGAGCAGTTTGTGTGTTTTTCCGACTCACCTAATGATCCTCTAGATGTGACCACTATCCAAGTGTTACTATTCCTTCTTCCGACATCAGGCTAGTAGTTTAGCATCGAGCTTTTCAAGAAAAAGGCTGGAAATTTTGTTCCTAGACCTTTGAGCTTCAAACACGAATATCGCATCGCTTGGCCAGGATTTGCCTGGCACTAACGCCACGGTCCTACGGCTCAAGCTTTGCGCTCCAATCAATATGGAGAGCGCGTCCTTCGCGCCCGACGTACTCGTCCAAGACTGGTGGGGTGATGTCTGTTTGGGTATATGTCGGATGCGTGGCTGGCAGCTGTTATACCGTAACTGGGACGCTGCTGGCCGTAATTGCCACCTCCACCGACCTCTTTAGCCGTCCTCTTGGTTGGGACTACTCGTCCTCTCCACTTATCACTTTGATTCTCGTGAATGATTGACCAACACTGGCAAGACACCAACATTGCGAACGAGCTAACTACGCATACTCGTCCGTTTTTTAGCTAATATCCGACTTCTTTCGCAAAACCTTCGAATTGCCAACCCCAACATTCCGCTACCATTTATTTGGACCATTAATTCGTTTCTCTGGTATTATTTTGTCCAGCTATGACGATGATTATCGACTAGTGTTCTTCATTGCATTTCTATACAACTGTGGCGATACTAATACAGCGGTAAGTTGTATTAGTATCGCCACAGTTGTTTTGTACATTGCTCAAAACTTAGTTCCCATGCTATTTGCTTGCTGGAAGAGCATAGTTTATGACCATTATAGGACCATGACACGTTCTTCTTCCCACTTTGCTCACAGCATATTTTTCTTTGTTATGGCTTACTTTCAGGAATTCCTAACAATTGTTTACATCTTCGTTCAACACCCAGTCTAACAGTATTCGTGAGTAGGAACTGACATTCCGATCTGTTGACGATGACATTTCTCATAACTACTGCCGTAGGGGAGTAACGGAGTTTTCGAGAAGATGTATGAGAGATTTTGTGTCTCCTTTGGGCATATCAAACGAAATCAGCAACGCCGCACATCCCGTCTTTCCCCTATGGCAGTAAATAGTGAGAAATGTCACTCATCAGCAAGGCCAGAATTTCCGTTACTACTCATAAATACAGTCAAGGGGCTGAATACACGAGAAGGGTTTCGCAGAGCAATTGATGAGTTTTGAAGAATAATGTGTCGCTGAACTGTTCTGGTGCGACATGACATATTTCACGTATTCACTAACGTAAGAAGTACAAGCGTTTAGGTAATACCAGGTAAAAAATGAAAATTTGATGTTTCTATTTGTAGATCCAGAACAGTGGGGACACGGAGTATTGTATAAAAAGGTAGAAAAATTGTCAACGGAGTACTGTATAAAAAGGAGAAAAATTGTCAGGAACCGTTGAAAGCAAACTTTGAGAAGTAGAAATGAGCTGGGTGAGAACCGAAAAGACGATGTGTCATGTTCCTATAATGGTCATAAAACTATGCTTTTCCAGCAAGCAAACAGCATGAAAATGTGTATTCAAGGAACCGAAGAAAGCTTACCAGTAGCTTAGCAGAATAATACTGCGGGTTCGCAATAGAGGATTGGGCGAAAGAAGTCGGAAATTAGCTCAAAAACGAACGAGTATGCGTAATTACGTCATAAGTTCGCAATATTGGCGTCTTGCGTGTTTTGTTCAATGAATTACGAGATTCAAGGTAGTAAGTGGCGTGGACGAGTTGTCCTATTAAAAACAGCTGCAGAGGCTCGGTGGAGGTGGCGATTACGGCTAGCAGCATCTCAGAAACAATACGACAGCTGGCGGGCACGCAATCCGGCCGCCTCTCTGTCTGTTTTTAGATGTTCCCAAAGTTTTTTCCGATTCTTTTTCTACTGAGGAGCTGCCTATGGAAACTGGTTCATGATGGAGCACCAACTACCCGCAACACTTGATCGCGGGAATTGTTTTTAAGCACTTCTTGGAGTAATGGATAATGGAGTTCGTGGTACACTTCTGGCTGACCCAGAACTTTACATTCTTTCAGCTTTCGCTGTTTTCGCAACCATATACACTCCTTATCCCTGAGCCAGAGTAGGCGTAGCATTTGAGCATGGCACGGAACTGCTTAATCGTGGAGTACCCCAGTCTGGGACAACTGTCATCTTGTTCTCTGCTGGACAAAGACACGACAACAATGGTGTCAAGATTAAAATACCGTCATGCAGAAGCATATACACCTTCAGGTTAAGTTGAAACATGCATTCCGTGGGACAGTTTGGCCTCCCGAGCACGAATAACAC